CTTTAATTTTTCTCAAAATAAAAGAATAATTTTGGAATCCTCACTTATGATGACAATGAACTGTTTTATTTTACAGTAGATTCAGTGCAGGATGGATGTGAAGTCTGTTACTCATACAAAGTGAAAGGCTGGATCATGCTTCTCCATCTGTACAGGAGTGAACATACAAAGCTTTCATTCACTGACGTTCACTAAGCAGCATTTCTTCCCCTCTATAATGTTTTTTTTTTCCTGAAACCTTCGGTCTTCTGGTTCACATTGTTTAGAAGTTTATGTGCTCATTTGATTGCATGAAGAGATTCCTTCATAACATACATTCAACATACATGATGGGGACAAAATCCCCAGTCTGTGCAGAAAAGAAGTTTCAATAATATTAGTCAAATCTAGGACCTTCCAAAGAAAAGTGTTTTGAAATTCACTCTGTGATGAAATTCACTAAGCTGGAGCCTTGTATTTAATTAAAATAAACATTTTGTACAGAAAGAGAAGAGAGGCCGTGGTCCCCAAACACTTTTGAACTGGGAAGTGAAACAGTCACTCATCAGCACGACACACCGAGCACCAAAAACACCTCCTGATGTCAATACATGCTAAATGTCACGTGTGATGAAGTCACCGGTCCACCTGCTTTTGATACCACAGCATCATCGACATTGTCTTCTGGCCTGCAATGAGTGTGTGTGTGTGTGTGTGTGTGTGTGTGTGTGTGTGTGTGTTGGGGGTTGCACACACTGTAACCTGAGTGCAGCCATGCAATAGAGAGACAGCATGACGCCACCAGATAAGGTGTACACAGAGCTCTGAGCCTATCTCTCTCTCTCTCTCTCTGTACCCCGCCCCCCCTCTCTCTCACACACACACACACTCTGACAGGTAATCTATACCTGTGCAGTTGTGATAAGGATGTAAATGAGATGTGCCGCCTTGTGTCTCGCTCCTGCAGTAGAACCAGGTCGCGCCTGTCTCCCTCTTCGACAACTTGAAAACAACCTCACAACCTCGACATCGACCCCACCGCAGAACCGAACAACCTCAGCTGTGTTAATGTGTCTGTGTGTGATAATGAGAATCATACATCAAGACACCCAGATCAGCAATAGCAAAGGCTGCTATTGACTTTGTAGTTGAACTAACGAGGTGTATCCTGTGAATGTGCACATTGTTTAAGTGTAGCATGACATAGTCAAGGATTCTTTCCACAGAGGAATTCTAATTACGAAAAGTAGTAAAAGATCTAAAACTGGGTCCCAGATTTTACAGCACGTGTAGCACTCAGTCATTGCTGTGCTACAACAGCTCTGAGATTGATCCACTGCTCGAGACTCATTATTACTGCGTCATATTGAGATTGAAGTTAATAAAGTGGGGATACTGGTTGTTCACTAGTTGTTCACTGCTGAATAAAGAGCTAAATACGTCTTCTGCAGGTAAATGATATCATCCAGAAACGCACATTCATTTCTAATCGGGTATGTGCACAATGCAAATGACTCGTGACTGTTGTGATCCTTTCTTGTTAGATTTTCATAAACATCCATCATGAGGATTAAACTACAGGTCAGATAAAAAAGTTGATTGGAGTCACAGTCATATCAGAGAAATGTTAACTATAGTTTTGAACATGAATACGAGCTGAGCCTCTTTTTCGTTTTATCTCTGATTGCTCACACCCAGCATCTCTATCATCCAATCAGCACACAGCTAGCATTACAACGTAAATCTGATAAGTTAACAGTGAGCTCTGGGCTGCCCCGGTCCACTCAGATAGCTTTACTCTCACCTGTCGACAGGTGTGGCCTTGAGCCGGCCTCCAGATCATGTGTTTTCTGACTTCACGGGATGAGGTGAGAGGTCTGCCCTCCACTGTCTCTCCCACCTCCTCTGGTGACTCTTTAGTAGATAATCATCTCAACTACAGTGGGAGCTCATTTGTTAGATGCAGAGGGAGGAGGGCTGATGATGAATAAATGAAGGAATTGAATCTTGAGTCTGCAGCTTCACCCACCTTCACACATTTGTATAATGAGCAGCTCAAACTCGGGCTCAGCTTTCACTGGTGGGGACACATACTACAGACGCCTGCTTTGGTTACCACAGAACAAGACAGAAATTCACTGGGAGAAATCTGATAAATTATGAAGAGGTCACACCAATGTCACAGCATTACCTCATCCTGTTCACCCCAAACTGAGCTGAACAGATGGACCTAGTGTGTGTGTGTCTCGTGTGTCGTGTGGGTGTGTGCATACGTACTGCTCAGTCTCGGCTCACCAAACCCTGTTATGATCAGTCACTGTCATCAGTGTGGAGGAATGTGCGTCTCCAGCACATCACGCTTCTTCACACTAGACTTTATTTCTCCTGCAACACAAGAGCATGGGAACACTTTGGTCATTCACAAATATATCTCATTTTTTCGCACATTTACTGCTGTGTTTAGTGATTTGATGTTCATAAAAGTACAGTCTGATGCAATGATGTACATTTTGGATGCTGTGTGATATTTTAAAAACCTGCAGGAGTGGTGAGATTAATGCAAGACTGGCAGATGGTTGTGGAAACATGCAACAACTTGAAATAATTCACAAAAAAAGTTCAGATATCGCACAATCCAAAAGTAAAGGCTACAAAGACACGAACACAAGGGCCTGTTTTTATTCAGCCTTTACAGAAGTGTATAGGTAGAAGCCTGGGATTATATATATATATAGATGACATATAAAGAAATGCAGAATTATACTCCAGGGAGTTGGAAAAAGATAAAATGAAAACAGGAATTTAACTAAGAAGCTGAACATTTTGATGGTTGAATGGTTGAAGTCAGCTGTAGTTGTTGAAAACCCAAATTTCAAATATTGTGACTAAAAAAATGATAGAAGACAAATTATAAGAACAGGGATCATCATCATACGCTTAATTTGTACTACACTTTAAGAAGACTATAACACTAGGAGTTTTTCTCAGTGTTTAACTAAATTTCTTATAAGTTTGTTACAATAGTGGAAAACTCAGCTATAAACTCTGCTCGGAGACACCTCGTCCAGTCATCGCCTCTGCTGCATAAACCCCAACAGTGCTGGTTGTTTATATCAACAAGAGAAACCAGCGTCACGTTCTTCTCTCCGTGATCGGAGCCTCGAGGGTTCTCATGTAATCCCCGGGGACGCTGTTATTTGGCTTTCACAACAATGAGCTCATCGCAGAGTCCCCCCCAGCATCCTCGCCTGAACTGAAAGAAGATCCATAACTCTGCACTGAGCTGTCATTTCAGACCAGCAGGATAATTAAACTGTGGTTAATGCAGCGAACGTGCTGCTGCTGACCTGTATCACAGTCCGCATCATAAATTAATAAATCAGGAGACACTCCAATTTAATATGTGTATTTACATCATTTATAAAGTATGTGTTGATGTAAGTACTAAATGATAAAATACACAGAAAACTTTACATATTAAAGTTATATACTATTAAAGGTACAGTGTGTAGAATTTAGTGACATCTAGTGTTGAAGTGTCATGTTGCAGCTGAACACCCCTCACCTCACCCTCTCCTTCCAAACATGAACAAGAAACTGTGGCAGCTTCAGTTGTCATAAAAACTCTAAAGATGTTTAGTTTGGACTAACGTAAAAAACATGGCGGCCTCCGTAGAGAGGAGCCCCTCGATTTAAATATTTAAATATGAAGTATTTAAATATAAAGGGTCTTTTCTGGGGTAAAGAAATCTACAATTCATACAATTTAGATGAAGCAAACTAGTGAAAACATCACAAGCATTAATCTACATTACATTTCTGCCAATAGTTCCCTTTCACCTAAATCTTACACACTGGACCTTTAATAGTTGTGCCTATATATTCTCTGCATGTGCTGCTCATGTGAACCATCACGTTCTACATCATCTAAAAAATCACGTCCCGTTTCTTCACATCTTATCTTGTGTTATTATCCCATCATCACATCATGGTTTATTGTGTCACAACAGAACTAAGGAGTGACAGAAATAGGAGCAAAACCAGAGTTAGCATTGCTGGTAGAGAAAATGAGCGAGCCAGATCACCAAGTAAACATGCAAATGTTCAAACAATTACACATTGTTTGGGTTACATCCAATTAAATGTCTCCACCTGTCTCCACCTTTGTCTTCACCTCTGTCTCCACCTCTGTCCCCACTTGCCTCAACCTCTGTCTCCACCTCTTTCTGTATGTCCACAGGTGATATGATGGCACAGGTGCGCAGCTCTGGTTGCACGATCCTATCAAGTGATTAACAAATCCTGTGTGGTCATTACTTAGTGTTCTGCCTAACAACAGAGTAACTGTTTGTTTTGACAGCGTCCACTGAAACTGGGTCACAGGACGGTCAGTTATCTGTGTGTGTGTGTGTGTGTTAAAGCGAGGGAGAAGGAGACAGAGCGAGAGCGTGCTGCACTGTCTGTGTTACAGAGTGCGTCTGTGAAATTGATATTTTAAAGCTGTAGAAGCAGAACTATTGTATTATATTGTATTTTACATCACACATCAAATTGTCTTTACTCCACATCCTGTAAAGACCTTGTAAACTTCCCACTGTCCCCTGCAGACACATTAAAAGAAGATATGCAAATCATAACTATTTGTGTTTCTATCACTACAGAAAAGGACAATGAGCGTCATCTCACCTGTGTGTTCTTCTGTCCAGACGAGTTCAAAACAAGTGCGTCATCCTGCTGAAAGATGAGAGACGTGAAATATGCTTAGTCATAGTAAAGTCTGTTATAATGCAGAAGTGTTATTATGTGTTTCTGTATATTATTAATATGTTGCAGTGTATAAGGGTTGAGTAGAGGTTGCATTATTATGGTAGGTGCCATTAGAATAACTTCCATAAGATTGTACTGTAAACTTTGGCCTGAGCAAAAACAAAAGCATCATTTTAATATTTCAGCTGTAGGATGTGGAGTATATTTTACTTTATAAGATATTTTACTGCAAAAAATGTATTTTCTCAACTAAAATACAAGTTACTCATGCAGGACATTGTGACTTTTGTAAGATTAGATAAGAAAAGACCAGATGCAATTTTATTGATCCCCACGATAATATTTAGTGTTAGAGAAGCACAGGGAGAGAAACTCATCATGTACAAAATAATATAAAAAGTGAGGAAAATACTCAACAATTCAACCATCACCATTGAGATACTATCCATTAATACGCTATCCTCATATCTTTATCTTTAAACAGACCTAACTTTGGTCAGGTTAACTGCTAACAGGTTGTAAATCAAGGGACATGTTGTCGTTAAAGTGACAAAAGTCTGAAGAATAATACAAACTACAGAAGGATGGTATGACACTAACTATAAGATGAAAGAATACACAGTGAAAACAGGAATAATATGGAATATGTGAAGCAATAATAACATTGAACTAAACACTGTATAATAATCAGCTTAATAAAGAAGTCCCACCAATGGCTGTACTTCGTGAGGAGGCTCGAGCCGGCTGGCCTGGGTACCACAGACCCCACATCCTTTTACATCCTCACACCATGTGTCACCGTGCGGCCCTGAAGGAGCAGGGAGGCTCCGCAGCGAGTAGTTAAGTTCTCACTGAACATCACTGGCAGCACTTTTCAAACAGTTGGGGACATTTACATCAGTGGATGCAGGAGCATCAGTTTCCTGAAGGATTCTTCCAGACATCCCAACCAGGCCGCTGTCAGACTCCAACTCTGCCACACACCAGAGACTCTTTCAGCCATACTTGAATATCTGGGCTCATATCTATCAGTTAGCTTCACTCCCTCTCATGTACCTCGTGTTCTGGAATAACTTATTGAACAATAACAACAACACAACACATCGTGACACAACACAACACAACATGTGGAGCGTCGCTGGCTCGTCGCCACGAGGTCAGGTTCGTTAGCTGACTGCTCTCGCCATCTAGTGGACAACCTACGAACTACATTTCCCGTTCAACCACGTTAAATCAATGTTTTTTTTTCTCGTAGTTTAACAAACGTGTGAAACACTCAGTAAAACATGTTTCTGTCTCTTTAGTGAATTAACAGAAACGCAAACTCACCGAGTCGCTGAATGGCGACGCGGCCTCTTTAAAAACCCACCGGGCTCTTTATTTGGCAGGAAGTTAGCCGCGGCTAACAGGAAGCGGGAGAATGAGGACACTCTGAGGCGCAGGGATTGGCAGAGAGACGTGAGTTCAGACATTACTGTTGTTCCAGCTCCTCTTCGGAAAGGTAGCGGCACAAAGACACACGCTACACCCGGGTTAGGCGTTTAGACTTCGGCGTGGACGTGGTCGTTGTCCGCCGTGTGTCGGTGCTGCGTTTCCCCCCCGCGAGGGAGGGGGTGGGTTCGTGGACTGAGAGCAGCTCAGTGCTAACATGAGTCCACAGCTCTGAGGGATCACTGGGTTACACTGATCAGTCTGTGTTGTTGTCTGTTGTCTGTTGTCGTTGTTGTGTTGTATCAGCTGATGTGGCTCCGGTGACTTGTTGTCCTCGTGTCTCATGTCCTCACCTGAGACCTGAGACCTGGTGAAAGAAGAGGACTGAGTCAGGACCCTTGAAGAAAGTGGGACAGCTGATAAATGTTTAATACGATTCAGAGGTCGAGGATCGTGACGTTTTATTGAAGGCTTGAAAGTAGAAGAAGTAGATTTTAATCGTATCAGAGGAAAATGTGATGTGTTAGCAAGTGAGACCAGTAACCAATCAAATCCACCTACTGTGACACTATAACTGAGGGATGCTAAGATTAGTGTTTTTTATTTTTATTACAATAATATTAGAAATAAAAACAATTGCCTGTCAATGAACTAATTATATTTTTCAACTAATCGTTTCACTTTGTAACTTAAAGGTTCAGTGTGTAGGATTTAGGGACCTCTAGTGGTGAAGTGCCATGTTGCAGGTGGAAACCCGTCACCTCTCTAAACATGACACAGAACCTGAGGCAGCTTCAGTTGCCATAGAAACTCAAAAGGTTTAATTTGGGCTACTGTAAAAAAACAACAACATGGCGGCCTCCGTAGAGAGGACCCACTCCTGATGTAAATATAAAGTATTTCAATACAAAGGGCCCATTCTGGGGTAAAAACAATACAAATTCATACAATGTAGATGAAACACACAAGTGAAATCATCACTAGGATTATTTTTATATTACTTTTCTACCAATAGATCCTTTTCACTCTGGACCTTTTTACATATTTATGCAATTTACACAAACAACAATCTGAATAACGAGTGTGGAATAATCGGATGTGGCTTTTCTGAAAAGAGATCGATTCACTTCATTATTCTAATGAGGTAAACCGATGTCTGCGCATTAAGTCTTCTTCTCTCTCAGGGAATAATCCTGAATTACTCGTTGTATAAAATTAGTTTTCTTTCAAAAGTTGAACTTCTGTTTAAGAAGTCAAGTCATCTGTCCATGTGCAGTGGAGACTTCACATGTCCCTGTCACTTCAATGTAAAATTCAATCCATATTGAAAATCACTGTTAGTGTTAGCTTTATATTGATCGTGTTAAAGCAAGTAATAGTTTAATATTTGACTGGTTGGCGCTGCAGCATCACCATATTCTTCTTCATTACAGGAGGAACACAAAGTCAACCACCTCTTTATGAAGACAAGTCAGAGGTAACTATGGTAAGTAAGAGGAAAACATAGAAGATGTGACTTTACTCTTTGGCAAAGTTGAATTAAAGTTGAATGTCTCAGCATGTTGAAATGTCATTTGTGTGTTAGTACTTCATTTGGTCCAGATTGTATCATTTAGCACAAAATGGCCTCCTCCACATTTCAATGCTTTTTTTCTCTGCCTCCTCTCTCTGCCAGTCTTCAGCAGTGGATCTCAAGACGAAGGAGGAGAAGGATGCGGAGTTGGACCGACGAATCGAAGCTTTGAGGAAGAAGAATGAAGCTCTGGTTAAAAGATACCAGGTATGGAGATCTTACATTTGACTCACAAAATATATCTTTGTATTCTCCCATCCACCATCCAGTGTATTTGAGTCTTTTCAACAACACTCCACATATTGAAAACCTGCTTAGAATTCATTTTGAGTTTGGATTTGAGAAACGTCTTTAGTTTCATCTCGCTCATTCTCTCACTTGATCTCAAAAGGAAATTGAAGAAGACAAGAAGAAAGCAGAGCAGGAGGGCATTGCCGTGACAACACCTCGGAAACCCCGTCCCCACGAGCCGGAGACGGACAGGAAGAAGACGGATAAGGAAAACTTCACTGTCACAGTTGACCTTTCTAAATCAACAGGGGTAAGATATGATGAAGATCCCAAACTTTCTAAAATCACTGCTCCTTCATCAGACTCATCCATTAAAACTACAGTGCAAACACAGTGAGTGGAGGTTATGAATGGTGTGACACATCCTCACATCATTTGCTTTCGCTTTCTTTGTTTTATGATGATCCTGCAGACAGATGACGCAGCTTATAAACTCTCGACAGCTTCACATTGTTGTGATTGGCTACAAGCCATGACCTGCGTCTGTCTTCGGCTCAATTATTGTCTGCAAGATGGAGGGACATTTGGAATAAAGACAAATTAGATAAATAAAAATACAATTCTGCAGGAAAACTCACACAGAAGAAATAATAAATATGATGAGAATCATGCAGAAAATAACAAAAAATATGTTGCAGTTCTTTTTAACTCTGTTTAAAGGATTTGATGGTTGGTTGGATTCTGTTGACTCTTCAGTGAGAGAAATTATATCAGAATCAAAAGCAACAAAATACAAAAAGGCCAGTATTGTAATTACTGTGCATTTCCTGCAGGAGAAGAGAGTTGTGAATGACTGGAAACCTGGAACGCCTCGCGGCCGGAAGACGTCAGAGGAAAGCGACGGGCAAAGAGGGCAAAATGACAGCCACAGTCCCTCCAGGAGGATGGGGTCAGGACGATTAGGTCGGGGAGGACAGAGAGGAGGAGGAGGTCGTCAAGAGAGGAGAGAATGGGAACCACGAACACCTAGAAGTGGAGAACCTGGAGAGTTGGGTGGACAGGGACGCAGAGGAGGAGGAAGGAGAGAAAGAGGAGGAGGAGGAGAAGGCAGGGGAGGAGCAGGCAGGGGAGGAGCAGGCAGAGGAGAAGGCAGAGGAGGAGAA